AGGAGGAGGAGGACGGGGGGGAGGACGAGGAGAAGGAGGACGAGGAGGAGGAAGAGGAGGAGGAGAAGGAGAAGGAGAAGCAGAAGGAGAAGGAGGAAAAGAAGGCCTCGCGTGGCAACTCGAGAAGCCATTCTTAGCACGGGGGGAACGGGTCCTCAGAGAGAAACGGGTCCCAGGCCCTGGAGCCCTTCCCCCAGAACGAATCTGTTTTGTTGACATGAGCCGCTTTCTGACAGTCCTCGGGACCCGTGCAGGGCCCCGAGAGTCCAAAAACATTGGGGACAACTTCAGGACCCGCTTCCCTCATGGCGAAATGTACAGTCGAGGCCTGGACCTAAGGAACGCAACATAAGGAACGAGGCCCCTTTTTTCCACAAGTTGAACTTCCATTTCCGATCGAAGACATAAGGAAAACCTGAGGCAAGCTGCGAAACACTTAAGGAACGCGGAACCCCTCCCCAACGAAAAGGGTTCCTTCTTCAGGGCCCAGACTGTACGTCGGATCCACGTCGGACTCATGTCGGGCTAACGTCGGCTCGCGTCGGATTGCCACCGCTTTGCACGTCGAAAGCGCGTCGGGAGCGCGAACGTCGTCCCATCGCTGACGGGCCAGACGTGCGGACTGCGTAGCACAACTACTAGTTTCTCGTGCAAGGCCTCCAGGATGTTCCTTCCAGGGCAAGTGCCCCGAGAAATAACATATTCCCCCCCGTCTCGGCTACACGCAAGAGTGACCCTGGGTAAGAGTGACCTTTGGTGCGCGACTTTTTGGGGGCCACTGGGGGACCAAACCTGAGCGCACAAGCAGCTGCTACAGCTTCGTTCTCAGCCATCTGGGGACCCATCTGCGCCCGCACCAAAGGTCACTCCGGCGAAAGGTCACGACTAGTCGACCGTCGTCGTCGTTCAGGGTCGGCGGCACTGGCCGTAAGGCCTCTCCAAGAAGAAATTCCCCTTCACACCCCGATGTCAGAGTCCTGGAAGATACCCCAGACATGCGACGTCCCGATCTTTTCAGGACGGGGTCCCTGGAAGTCCCGACCCTTTCCCCGGGCCCAGCTTTTCGTCCTGCGTCGAGGTCTGGCGAGGGCCCCCGAGACCCGAAAACGGCAAAAACCTCCAGTCCTGATTTGGCTCTACGACGCGATCCTGTCTGGGAGGGGCAACCGACGTCGCCAGCTCTGCGACGAGGGCGAGCCGGGCCACAAGCTGGAGAGGGCCGGACGGGCACCGGGGCACGGAGGGCGGCGTGGGGGGAGCCCCCCGGGCACCGGAGGGCAGAGCGCGCGGCCAGCCCATCGATCCTCCTCCTCGACAGGTTCGTACAGTGGGTGCCAGCCCACACGGAGCCCTCCACAGAAGACCGAACCCCAGACATGATCGCGCCGTAAACAGAATCAGGATGGGAGGCTTGTGGCTATGTTCGGCCCCGGGAGGCCCTCGCCGGGCCTCGGGACCGTCAAGAAAGACGACTCGGGACGAAACACCGGTCCCGGGGAAAGGGTCAGGACTTCCAGGGACGCCGTCCTGAAACAAATCAGGACGTCGTCGCATGTCTGGGACCCTGAGACCCCAAGACGTCCATCGATTTTCGGTGGGAACGTCGCGCTCCCCACAGCAGAGCCATCGAAGCCCAAGAAACCCAGGGCATCCTGGAGGCAAGCAGGGTGCTTCTTGGCATGGGCCTCCACCGTATGGACCAGACTCTAACCATCGAGGCTCGCAGCGCTCGAGCGGAAAGTGCAGGGAGCATCATGGACTTGGGCGCGGTGGTCTAGAAATCAGATCTGGGTGGGCGCAGCAAGAGACAACCCAGACAGAGTGAGAAACAAGAGAAATGCACTCACCATCGCTCAGACGTCCACTCCCTGTGCTTTGCTCAATTTCGTGCGCGTGTTGTTTCGCAAGATGACCCGTGAAGCTCCTCGATGGCCCTCGCCGAGGAAAAATACACATGTCCGAGCGATGCCAAGTGTAGATGGCCAGCCAAGACACGGAGCACGCGCCGAAAACTGGTCAGGGAGGGGGTGATGGAGATGGTTCAGATCCACGGCACGAAGAGACCTCCTCGATCCTCCTCTTCATCCTCCTCCTCCTCCTCCTCGATACTCCTCCTGCTCGGTCCGCCTCCTCCTCCTCCTCTTCCTCCTCGAAACTTCTCCTCCTCCTCCTCCTCCTGCTCCTCCTCCTCCTCCTCCTCCTCGATACGCCTCCTCCTCCTCCTCCTCCTCCTCCTCTTCCTCGTCCGACTAGGTCGCCTGTAGCATGCCGGCAGGTCCAAGAGAAGAGGCGCCCTGAGGCCATCGACGGACTCCCGATCGTCAAAGAAACGACTCGCGATGGAGAACTGGTCCCGGGGATCCCCCCCCACACCTCCTCGATGTTCCTCATCCTCCTCCTCCTCCTCCTCCTCGCCCTCCTGAAATAGATTTCGTCAGAGCACCCTGGTCCCCGACATTCCTCCTCCTCCCCTCTCCCTCATCCTCTTGAACATCCCTTCTCCCCATGAGGGTAGGAGTGCATCCGACGAGGACCTTGATACTCGAGCCTCATTCTCAGTCTGCATGGTCCGTGTCCATGGGTGCTCCCCCTCCTCCGCATGTGGCGCCTTAGCTGCGCCCGTGGCCTGGAGGTGGGTACCAGGCACGGGGATTGCGCATTTGGTCGGGAGGTGGGGTCGTGTGGCCCGTGAACCCCATGGGACCTTGTGTCCACCCGCCCTGGGCTTGTCGTATTCGTACAGTCCGGTTGCGCATGCCGCTCGATTCGGCAGGGTTGGTCGTGGTTTTCCTGGCCGAGGAACCTGAAATAACGGTGAAGGCTTCAGGGGACCATGCCACCCTACGCACCGAGCCGTCTCGTGCGGGCAGCGAGTCACGGCCGACGTGGTCTTCTCACCGTTCCTTGGTCTGCTTGTTGGGAAGACATCGTCTTTTTACAGTCTACAGTCCTCTCCTCCTCCCAGGGGTCATATGATACCGGAGAAAAAACCCAATCAGATTTTTGTTAGGGCTATAGGGCTATCGGGCTATAGGGCTATTGGGCTATAGGCCTATACGGCTATCGGGCTATAGGGCTATAGGTCTATAGAACTGTGACATATAGGGCCATAGTGCTATAGGGCTATGGGGCTATAGAGCTATATGGGCTATGGGGCTATAGGGATGTAAGGCCATTAGGGCTATAGGGATATAAGGCTATAGGGCTAGAGGGCTATACGGCTATAGGGCTATAAGGCTATAGGGCTACTGGGCTATTGGGCACCCCCGGGCACCCGGGCACCCCCGGGCAACCCCGGGCACCAGGGCACCCGGGCCCGGCCACCGAAATCGGCCACCCGGGCACCCCCGGGCACCCGGGCACCCGGGCCCGGCCACCGAAATCGGCCGCCGACCTCACCTCAGCTTTATATCCGCTAGGACCCCTACAGAAGCAAGCTCTGATTGGGGAATCAATCCTTACCGACTCCTCCGTATTCCTGAAAACTCGATATCCTTCGACTCGGCATGCCTCCTCCTTCACGATATTCACGGATACTCCTCCTCCTCCGCTTCTTCCTCCTCCCACACATCTTCTTCCTCCTCGAGCTGCACCCACGGGTGGACTTCACCAAAACGCCTCGATCCTCGATCCTCCTTCTCGACCTGCCCCTCCTCCTACAACCAGACCTGGGACAGAAAGACGAACATGGGGCCCTCCGCCGGTCAGACCTTAAGAACATCAGAGGGTATCCTCCCCCAGAATGCACACGCACATCCAACAAGCACGAAAAACATTAAGGCACCCTCTCCGAACCGACCTCGATCTTACACCTCGGTCCGACCGTGCTCCTCCTCCCCCGTCTCCTTGGTCTTCCTGGGTATTTCTCCTCTTCCGTGTCGTGACAACTTCTCTGTTGGTCTCTGGCACCGCGTGGATCGACCCCTGGGGCAGTCACAAACTGGCTCGGGAGGAAATGCCGACCCTTGTGAGCATAGTGTAAATCTGGCTTTATCCCCAATGGCGTGGCTTTGGCCGCACTGGCCGACTTGCCTACCAGGGTGGGGATAGATGGTAGATGGTCCAGGGATCCGCCCCCCCCCTCCAATGGCGAACGCCTCGCGAATGGGATCGCTCCCGCCCCCTCTGTGGTCGTGGCCCTGTGGGCGTGTCGTCGTCGTCGTCGTCGTCGTCGGCGGCGGCGGCGGCGTCGTCGCTAGCGTCGTTGTCGTCTTCCGTCGGCGTCGGCCTCGGCCTCGGCCTCGGCGTCGGCGGCGTCGTCGACGTCGTTCCCCCCGTCCCATCTGGGGGGGCTGCGAACTCTCGACCCAGGGTCATACACGATCCCAGGTCGAGGCTTCACGACGACGATAAGGACGACGACTCCACCGCCGCCGCCGACGACGATGCAGACGCCGACGCCGACGCGAAGACGACGCCGACGCCGACGGGACGCGGAGACGACGCCGACGGAAGACGAAGACGGAAACGGAGACAGAGACGGAGACGCAGACGGAGACGACGACGACGACGTCGACGACGACGAGGACGATGACGACGACGACATCCATAGCGGGGGGGGGCACCCTCCACCACGCCACGCCCACAGGGCCACGACCATACCAAGGGGGGGGGAGCGATCCCATTCGCGAGGCCTTTGGGAGGCTCTGTTACACAATATGGACCTTGGGGAACGGTCGGGACCCGCGTTGACAGAAGAGACCATGGCATCGGAGGCCTGAGCCCTCCTGGAGGACAGATCTCGACCCGAGCTGACCGCGATCCTCCAACAGAAACTGCGCGCGAGACAATGACCAGAGGGGCCACGGCGGCCAAGGGAGGGAAGCGCCCCTCTAAGGAGGAGGAGGAGGAGGAGATGATCATCGAGAAGGAAGGAGGAGGAGGAGGAGGAGGAGATGAACATCGAGGAGGAGGAGGAGGAGGAGGAGGACGAGGGGGAAGAGGAGGAGTATCGAGGAGGAGGAGGAGGAGGAGGAGGGAGGGAAGCGCCCCTCTCAATCCTGCCCCGGCATGCGCGGTTGATCCCGCCGTCCGCGGCCTCGAACGTTTCCGGGTGGTCCGCCAGCGACTCGAAGCCCACGCCTGGAGCCAGGGAGCCCCCCCAGAGATCCTGGCGTCGCAACCGAAGCTTGGACGGCAAGCTTTCGTAGTGCTGTCCATGGCTCCTCCTCCTCCTCCTCCTCCTCCTCGTCGTCCTCCTCCTCCTCCTCCTCCTCCTCCGTCGTAGAGCCTCCTCCTCCTCCTCGTGTTCGTCGGCCCTAGTCGTCTCTTAGGGCCTGCACGTTTCTCCTGTGATCCCATGCTCCCCCGGCAGTGTCTGCCCCTCTGGGGGCCCTCAAACCTTCTTCGAAGCACTGGGCCCGCATGTCGCCCGGCCGGCTTGCGGTCGCCCCGTGGCCGCCCCGTCGCCGTCGCCGCCAAGGAGCCGGGCTGTGTGTCGCCCCGTCGCTGCGCCAAGGGGAGCTCCTGCTCGCCCGTGTGGTCTCCAAGCGGCATGGCCTGCACCAACAGCTTGCACCACACAACTTGCCCAACATGTGTTGCACCACACACATGTACATACATACATACATACATACATACATACATACATACATACATACATACATACATACATACACATACACACATACATACATACACACATACATACATACATACATACATACATACATACATACGTGCATACAAACATAACGGCACGCGAATATACTAACATACGTTATACGTACATACGGACATACGTATACGCTCATACATGTACGTACACATGCGGACATACGTATATACATGCATACATCCATCCGTACATGTGTACATACATGCATTCACATACATACATACATACTTACAGACATACACAATTACACACATGTATACATACATGCTTGCACACATGCATATACACATACACGCATACATACATACATGCCTACATGCATCCACACATCCATTATTGCATACACACATACATACATACATACATACATACATACATACATACATACATACATACATACATACATACATACAGACGTACATACAGACGTACATACATGTATACATGATTACGTACCTAAATACGTACATACATACATACATACATATATGCGAGAGAACGCGTTTCACGGGCGCTTGACTTGGGAACATTCGGCGGAGCGTTCCAAACCGGGGAGTGGGCACCCCCCCAACACTCGGCGCCGTCGATCAAAAGCAGAGGGGCTCCCCTCCCCCCAACCCACCCTCTCCCGAACCACCCCCCCCTTGCCCAACGGGGGCGAGGGGGGGGGTGAACCCTTCCCCTCCCCCCCACTATGACCAGAGGCAGCCCAAGGGGTGCGGGGTGGGGGGGGGTTCAACCCCCCCCTGGCGCCGAGGGGGGGGGGGGTCAAACCCCTCCCCCCCGCTTGGCGCTGGCGCTGGCGCTGGCCAGCAGCGCTGCCGCTGACGAAGGCAACGGCGGGGACACAGCGACGGTAACCACCACGACCACCACCACCACCACCACCACCACCACCGCCTCAACTCACCACAACCACCACCGCCAACCCACCACACAACCACCACCACCACCACCACCACCACCACAGCCACCACCACCACCACAACCACCACCGCCGCAACTCACCATCACCACCACCACAACAAAAACCGACCACCACTACCACCACCATCACCACAATGTACCACGCCACCACCACCACCGCCACAACCACCACCACTACCAGCAGCACAACCCACCACCACAACAAACCACCACACCACCACGGCCACCACCACCGCCACCACCACCACCACCACCTCCACAAACCACCGCCACCACCATAACCCACCACCACCACCACAAACCACCACCACACCAGCACCAAACCACCACCACCACCATCACCACAACCCACCACACCATCACCTCAACCCACCACCACCACAACCACCACCATCACCACCACCACCACGAACCACCATCACACCACCACCACACCACCACCACCACCCACCACCACAACCACCGCCACCACAACAAACCACACCACCACCACCACAACAAACCACCACCGCAACAAACCACCACCACAACCCACCACCACCACCACCACCACCACCGTCATCCTCGTCGACGCTTCCCGCCGCCGCCGCCCGCCGCCGCAGGCGCCGGCGCGGGCCCAGAAAAGGAAACCGTCGCCCCCGCCGCCGCCGCAGCCAGCCGCCGCCAACGCAGGCGCTGGCCCGAGGAGAGGAAGAGAGGAGAAGTAGGGAGGAAGGGGGGGGGGTCGAACACCCCCCCCCCGTCACGGGAGGGGGGGGGGTCGAACCACCCCCCTCCAAGCGACCACAGAACGCTCTGTTTCATACATGCATACAAACATACATACATGCATACACACGTACACAAATACATATACACATAACTATGCATATACACAACTATACATCCACCCGTATATATATATATATATATATATATATTATACATACATACATACATACATACATACATACATACATACATAGATACATACATAAAAACATGCAAACATACATACATACATATATACACACATACATACATACAAACATCCATATATATATATATATACTAGAACCTTCGCGCGCGCTTCGCGCGCGCTTAGGTTCTAGCCAACCCCAGCCTTGGACAAGGTCAAAACTGCACGTATGGAAGGCCCGCGGATCGTGCGAACATGAGTTCAGGAAGTGGCAAGCACGCAACCATCGGGCGCGGCCAAACCGACCCCTAGCAAACCATACCCTTGCGTACCGAGTTCTGCGCTTTCGAGGTCAATGCGGTCCGCGCGTGCGTTGGCTGCAGACTCGAGCAAAACGAATTGCCCACGCGCGAAGCGCTCTCGGGGCACGACCGGCGCCGCCCCAAAGGAATTCGCAAACAGAAGTCATGAAGTGCAGCAAGTGGGCCGCGCAGCTTCCTCGATCGAGTCGGACTGCGTGCTTGTTCGGCGGAGTTGGCGAAAGAGCAATGGGAACATCGCTGCCATTATTGCGCGTGCGTCTACAATGTTTTCAGATGCGGCACCATCGCATCTGCATCTTGGGGCGCGAGCGGCTTCGCAACTAGAGGAAACGTACGATTGCCCGCTGACACTTTTCGGTGCTACTGTTGACTCGATCATCTTAACCACTCGCGTGCGTTTTGCGTTTGTCTCATAATCAATGCTCGACACTGGCCCCTCGCGGAAATTGCAGGGATTTGACAACAACTCGCCGTCGATTTCGGCTGACGCCCAGGGCCCCGCTTTCCTAGGTTACCGAGAATGTTAGGATATGCGGGGGTTGCCAGACGATTGATGCTGGCGGTCGGACTCCGGAGCTCGCGGTTTCCCTCGAGCGAGCTGGGCGAGGCCCCCCCCCCCCCCGAAGCCGCAACGAGGCTCCGAAAAAAGGTCTTCTGAGGCCCCCAAAAGAGCTCCGAGAGGGCTCCAAGCCGACCCCCAGTGGGCCCCAGGTCAAGGCGCACGGTGCATCATGCAACCGCAATGGCATGGCGGGGGACGTTGTTGTTGAGCACGACGCCGCGCCGTGGGGCAAACGGCAATGCGCGCCACATCGAGGAAAACCTTCCCCTCTTGCTTCAAGGGGGCACGCGGAAACAATACGACGTAAAAGTGTGCATGCAAATGTCGCTTGCAGGAGCCTCCTTGGGACTCTCTCGGGGCTCTCCCGGGGCATCCTCGAGGCTTCCGGACAGCCCCGGCGCGGCCCAAGACGGCTCCAAGAGGGCGCCGGCGTGGCCCACGCCACGGCCCAAACTCATGTTGCACCATGCATCCTGATGCGGGCCCTCCAAACATGTATTTGGACCCCTTCTGATGGGTGCCCTCTGGGGCGTTCTTTGGGGCCCTCAATGGGTTCGAGGGGGCTGCGGGTGGGCCTCGGGGAGACCCCCAGGGGGGCTCCAGGAGGACCCCGGATGGATCCCCAGATGGCCCAGAGCCAAAAAGCATTTTGAATATTGGATTTGGGCCCTCTTGGGGGGTAACTATATTTCATTAAAGCCGTATTGGCGAATTCTCGGCGACACGGGCTCCCTCCGGCTTCGGGCGGGTTTCAGGAAGTCCCGGAGAATGCCCCCACGGGGCATCAAGTGGACCCCGAGACATTCCTGAATCAGGATGCAGCGCGCGTCCTAACTTTGGATTTTCTTGGGGTCCAGGCGGTGCTCTCCCGAGGTCCTCTTGTGGGCCTCACGGGGTCCACTTGGGGCTCCCTTGAGCCCTCAGGCAGGCTTCCAGAAATTGTTGGCGCTCCGCGTATCCCCACCAGCCCGTCCAAAAAATCACCAGGCGACTTGCCCTGATCATCGAGAGGAGCGATGAGGGTGAAGGGAAGAGCCAGGAGGGAGGGGTGATATACAATAGCAGTCGAATACGAGAGTGGTCATGGACAGCAGTGTTCATATACGCAAGTGGTCGTGCACAAGAGGCCCTCTTGGGTATCTCTTGGGCCCCCTTGGGGCCCTCGTGGGGCTCGCTGAGGACCGTCTTGAGGCCCTCTAGGGGCCCTCTTGGGGCATTGCCCGGGCCCTCCAGGGCCTTCCAGTGCGATCCGGAGGGCTTCAAGCGGGCTCAAGACGGTTCCAGGAGAGCTTCAAAGTTTGTCGATACATTTGAAATTTGGAGGCCCTCCTGAGGCTCTCTGGGAGCCCACTTGAGGCCCTCCGAGATTGCATTGGAAGGCCTGGAGGGCCCGGGGCCCCGAGAGGGCCCCCCCGAGGGCCCCCGACCAGGAAACCTCCGGGGGGGGGAGTCGTCACGGCAGCCTCCGGTTTGGGCGCCCCCTCGCCACGGAAGCCTCCGGTTTAGGTTGCGCCCGGGGCCCCCCCGAGCTCGTCACGGAAGCCTCCGGTTTAGGCACAAGTCGGGAAACAAGACAGACGGGCGGGGGCCCCGGGGGGGGGTCGTCACGGAAGCCTCCGGTTTGGGGCGCGCCCAAATGATACCCTACCGTGACGAGCTCCGGGCCCACACTTTCGAAATGGGGATCCGCGCCGGGCGAGCCCCAAAAGACAGTCGCGCGGCCCCCGCAAGCCGCGCGAGTGCAGCTTGGGC